GGCGGATCCAGCAAGAGCTTGATGGGGCGACGCGGAATGAAAAAGTTTTTCAGGAGTCGCGGCAATAGAGGCGGCGCAACTATAACGATATGTGAATAATCCCGCCCACTCTAAAGCGGTACTGAACTGCAGTGGAAACGCAAACCGAGCCGAGCCGTGCCGTGCCGTACCGTACTGAGCCGTGCCGAGCCAGTCGTACCACGCAGTGGAAAAGCACCATAAGTGGATCTTAGCATTTCCTAACCTCTGTGTTAACCAAAAGAGGGAGACAAAGGGAGTGTTGTATATTTCTCATTTGCTTTGGTCTGATTCTTGAATATGATTTTTTTTTCTCCACATATCTGAACAATCTCTGCACACGTTTTGGCACATGTACAAAAGAGTAAATACTTTGCAGAATAACTAAACTAAACTATTTGCTTGCTTGATTCTCAGTGAAATTGTCATAGTCTTCGCAACCTTTAAACATTCTTTCATAGTGTGAGCCATCACATGCAAACTGATCCATTCAATTATCAAAATATACCTGCAAGTGACCTGTAATGAAACAGGAATCTTACCAAATCAAACAAGTTTGGAACATGTGTATATGAGTTTTGAGGACATCTATAGAACTCTGAAGTCCCATAAAACAGAAAATCTGAAATTGCACTTACACTTTGTTAGAGATGTTAGAAACTGTTCTGAAAAATTAGCCTAATCAATTGAACATTGATATTGTTATACATACATCTTCATAACCAAAAGTCTCATAAATTAACTGTCGGTTCCACTTTTTGAGCATAGACCTGAAAATGACATTTCCATCTTAAATTGTTATAAATTGTGAATGCTTTGGAGCACAGACTTAAGGTTGGTCTCTTTGTAAAGAAGACACTTGGCAGATTATTGTAGATACGTTATAAAAATTATAATACAAAAACGTTATGGCAGTTTAAGTTTATGAAATTAACTTAAAAGTTTTTAAAAAATGATTAAAATATTAATATTTTATTTAAAATATATATTTTACAAATCATGTTTTACTCTAAAACTCTGAGAAAATTAAAACAAAAAATCTGAACAAGTTGTGTTCCAAATTTGAGGTTGATATCTCAAAAAATGAGCTTTCAGTGAGATTTTGTTTGGGCGTAGTACCAAGATCTTCCACTGGATGACCATCAAACCTAATTAATAACCATTTAAGGGCGCCTCCATTTCCATATATGGTTTGAGTGATCTGAAACATGTTTTTCCATACTTTTCTCAATTATTATGAAGTAGACATCACATTCAGAAGTATTAAGGCCAGTATGGCAGTATTTGATTTCAATTTAATCTTTAAAAAATACGAGACATTCGACGAGAACCTTAGACCTATGTTACAGTTCACGCTGCATCAAACATGCGGAATCTATTGTTTTTTTCTTTATAGTCAAAACACTTTTAGACCTTTTTTTCTCCAAAAATAGAATGGATGTTATCTTTTGAACACTTGACATGAAGTTTGACATGAGTTTTTACTGATTTTTCATGATTTCATATGTGCATCACTATTTCAAAATAAAGGTCAGAACTCGCTCTCTGACTCTGATGAGTACTTTTCTTGCAAATTAATAAATTACAGTTGCTCTATAAAATATTGCAAAAATTTGCCACCAAATTTGAAAACTAGAGTCTTTAAGCTTTCAAACGATTTAAAGTTTGTCAAGATTACTTTAGGTTCAGAGTATGATATTACTGTTTAAAACATGTAATGACAAGTGGGCCCACCGGTGGGCCAGTGACAGTTAACAGGTTAAGGGGTTAAAGGACTTACTGTGTCAATGCTGCCGTTTCTCTCTCTGATTTGCTGTTCATCTTGCTCGTCTTCTTTTTTTTTAATTTTTTTTTTTTTTTTTAAAGAAGAAACAATAATATATGACATTAACAGAATTGTTGAGTGCTGTTGAAATAAATTATAAAATGGCATGAAATTAAATGAATATTCAAACAAATAAAAAAGGAGGTCAAACTGACTGGGTCTCCGTCTCAATCTCCAGGTGAAAACAATGAACAGAATCAATAACAGCAGAAGCGCAGCTGAAACTGGAAGCCACACATTTAGGAGTTCATTACTGTGGGAAATAAAGAAACATTTCAAAATCTTTTCATTCAAAGAGCTCCAAAAATTATATGGGACTAATTCAGCTGCATAAAAGACACCAGAGAATGAGTCACATCTGAAATAAACGTTCACCAGAACTTAATTTATCTCTGTTAATGTATTATTTAATGAATGTATTTCAGCCTAATAATTGCAGAAGTTTAAGTTTTATTTATTATTTTAAACAATACAGATGTAGTACTTTTGTGGATTGCCGGTGACTTCAGTTGTATTATTATTATTATTCTCGTGATGTCCTGATTTACGTCTGCAAAGACATAAAAAATAAAAAAAAAACACAGAGAAGAAAAATCAAAGGCAATGATTGTTAGAGAGTAAAGGCAAAAGAAATTAATGAAATAGTGCATGACAACAAAATGCAGACAAATACAGAATAATTCTGAGAGGAGAGACAGCAATGAGAAATGTTTGAATACTGAAGTGTCTTTCTCTTTGTCTGGTTCTGCCTCAGTTACAGTGAGATGAACAGGACTCACTGCCTGTCCAGCAATACATATGTGTAAGGTCAAAGAATTTGACATTAGAATTCGATTAAAACAATTGCAAAATGTCTTACCAGATTGAATTTTGAGATGCGTCTCCTTCATCGGTGGTTGTTCTCCAGTCTCCACAACACAATAATAATGTCCAGTGTGTTTGTTCTGCAGGTTTCTCATAGTCACAGTAAAGAGACTCTGATCAGGATGATCAATTACTGACAGATTCTCCGCTGTTTTATTTGTGTATGTTTGTT